CGCAACCCTCCGTGCTGCGCCCACACCTCGCTCAGCCAGTGAGCGGGAACCGGTCTGCATGTGGGATCCGAACCCTCGGCGGGAGCGCCACCACACTCCCAAGCGGGGCACTGTAGCAGTGCGCCACCGGGCCGGCCCTACTTTGGCTTTTATACTGCATTTTCACCATCAATCTTCACTTTTGCTCTTTATCCCCAAGGTTTTTTTGGGCTATTCTCAGCCATTTACTTTCACATTAATTTGTAAACAAATGTGTCCCCTAAACATGGAATTTGTTTACATTTATTCAAGTTTGTTTAACGTACCTCAGAAAAGTTGTTACTTTTTATTTTTCTTTCTCACATGTTATGCTGTGGTCTTCCATATTTTGTTGTTTTATTACAGATTTAATCCCCCATATTTCACATTAATTGCTTTTATGATGATCTGTTACCTCCTTCATTTTATATTCTGTATTTTCTAGTATATAGAAAGGCTACTGATTTTTAATATATTTATATTGTCTTTACTATATTAATTAACTCATTAATTGTAAGAGTTTTTTCAGTTTCCTACATAAACAAAGATCATCTGCATTGAAAAGTAATTTTTCTCATTTTCTTCCTAATAACCTTTTCTATTATTTCCATTTCTCATCTTATTTCATTGGCTAGAAAGCCCATCATATTATTATTTAACAAATGGTGACAGTAAGTATTCTGATCAATGACATTTTGATTTTTAAAGTAAATGATTCTGGAGTTTCACAACTAAGTATCATGTTGGATGATTATTTAAAGTAGTATGTTAAGGAAGTATCTTTCTATTCCTGAGTTACCACAAGTCATCAGAAATGAGTATTTAGTTTTATCAAATGTCTTTTGTCAACAGTTTTGTAATCAAAATGAGAAAGTTAACCTTAGACAAGATGTTCTCGCCCCATTGTACTGTATGAGATAAGATATATTACAGAGCAAAGAGAGCACTTTTCTCTTTGTAATGGGAAATTATCTTTGTATTTAAAACATATAATTAATTCCCTGCCCATGTTTACTTTGCTCTCTCAGGAAACATATTCTCCAGCCAAATATTCCTACAGGGTCTAACTCCACTCTGATACTCTGATGCATTAGTGAATCAATGAGAATCAAGAGAATAGCCCATAATGGTGAACACACTCAGTGGAAAAAGAATGGCAAGAAGGAAAAGAGGCAGAGAATAAGCCTTAAAATGATGAAAATGTGGAAGACCACAGCATATAACATGTGAGAAAGATAGGATACCTCTTTCTCCAAATTATTGTCCAAATTATTGTCCAAATTATTGACACTTTTGAAAGTGGTGGGCTATTAATAAATAAATTGATGTGAGAAAGATAGGATACCTCTTTCTCCAAATTATTGTCCAAATTATTGACACTTTTGAAAGTGGTGGGCTATTAATAAATAAATTGGGATGGCACAGTTCCCTATGCCTGTGAATCTATAATTGATAATTTTTTTTTCTTTTTTTTTGTTGATGGCTGGCCAGTGTGGGAATCTGAACCCTTGACCTTGGTATTATTATCACCACACTCTCCCAAGTGAGCTAAGCAGCCAGCCCCTATAATTGATCATCTTGATAGTCAACCAATTCTAAGAGTTTAAGAGGGGAGAAGAATAGTGGTACTAGTGTAGTGGGTCTAATTCTTCTTCAGTCTTTTATCATCTGCAGCCTTTGGGAGCTAAGTTAATAACATTCTTCAATATGCTTCCAATAAATTAGGAATTATACACATGATCAGAAGGTGTGTGCTTCCTGTAGCACCTTAAAAAATCATCCCAAACTCCTACCCTCAGGTTTGAGTGCCCAAATGCTTGTAGCATTCTGCCTTATCCCAACCTCCACTCCCTCACCACCACTTGCCTCTTGTCTGCTTCATTTCCAAGTTGCATTATTATAAACACATTTATTTCCAATAACCCATAAGCACCCTTGTGCCTAGAAATCTTACTATTCTCTCAGCTCGTTTTTATGCTACTGTCATTATTCAGTTATTCAGTGAATACATCAAAGGATCCAAGTAGACATTTCTCCAAAGAATCATATACATTTGGTCACTAAGTACATGAAAAGTTATCCAACATCATTAGCCATCAGGAAAATGCAAATGAAATAACTTCATACCCACTAGGGTGGCTAAAATTAACAATAAAAAAAGGAAAATAACAAATGTTGGTGAAGATGTGGGGCCTTGTAAACCTCATATGCTGGTGGGAATGTATAACCACTTTGGAAAAAAATAAGGCAGTTCCTCAAAATGTTCATCATAAAGTTAACTATATGACCCAACAGTTCTACTCCATTCCTGGAGAAATGAAAACATGGAAACAGGTATATATGAATTTTCATAGCAGCATTATTCACAATAGTCAAAGAGTTGAGACAATTTAGATGTGGCCGTCAACTAATAAATGGCTAACATGGCATATCCATATAATAGAATATAGAAGTACTGAGACATGCTTCAGCATGAATGAACTTTCAAAACATTACGTTAAGTGAAAGAAGCTAGTTACTAAAGTCCACATGTTATGTGATTCCATTTATATGAAATCTCCAGAATAGGCAAATCCATAGACACAGAAAGTGAATTAGTTGTTGCCAGAAGATGGGGATAAGGAGAGTTGAGGGAAATGGAAAATGACTGCTAATGGATACAAGGTTTCTTTTTGGAGTGATGAAAATGTTCTAAAATTGAATGTGGTGAATTTTGCACAACAGTGAATATGAGGGTACTTCACAAAGTTCACGAAGTATCCCTCATATACTAGAAAAAAATAATTGAATTGTATACTTTAAATGGGTGAATTGTATGATATGCAAATTATATCAATAAAGTTATTTTTTAAATTATTTTTTAAACTTAACAAATTATATACTTCTCTGCAGTTTTTTTATATGTCAAGTATGCCCCCCATTAAAACGTAAAAGAAAAAATGTTTGGAATTGGAATACAATGAATTTTTTAGGAATGCACTTTGATAATGTATCGAGAACCTGAAATTGCCAAATGTTCATTATAACATTATTAATAATGGTGGGTAACTGGAACAACCTAGGTATTCCACAGTGGAAGAATAACGCAGTACATCCATAGATGGAATAATAAACAGTTAATTTTTTTAACATATATTTAATGACATGGAGAAGTATTTAAAAGAAGAAACAAGGTAGTCAATTTTACATTGCATATAATTCTAATTATGCTGTTTTTGACATCTACATGTGTGTGTATGTGAGGAGAAAAAAGCCCAGAATTTAATGTCAAAATCGTAGAGTTGTTGCGTAGTGGAGAGACTAAAGGTACTTTTTACTTGTTTTATATTTGTCTGTAGTTTCCAAATAAAATATATATTAATTAAACTTAGACATATAAAACCTATTGTTCACATTTCTCTGCTTCATCTTCTAATAGTTATGGTGGAACATATGGTATTATGTCTCCTAGTGGCATGCATGTAAGACAAAGCCATCACCACTCTACTCATCAGATTGTCTCATCTGTTTTGTTTTAATTACTTGACTCCGAAAAGAGTAAACAATGAACTTTAATATCTTTTGCAGGTTATCAATGCTGCGTTGGCATTAGCAGCAAAACCACAGAGTAAACTGGCCCAAGAGAACATGGATCTTTTTAAAGAACAGTGGGAAAAACAAGTCCGTGTTCTCACAGATGCTGTCGATGACATTACTTCTATTGATGACTTCTTGGCTGTCTCAGGTAATGAGCTGGTTTCCTACAGAAGCATGTGAGGATGTGCATAATTACTTTCATGTAAGTTACGATAATGGGCGATCAAACGCCCCCATGTCTGGGCAGGTAAATTATTCTAGCAATAATATTGTTCTGGTTTTCATTTTAATTAAACAAACAAGCAAACAAAAATGGCTACCACTGACTCTTGAGCAGTGGAAGGAAGGGTTGGAGTTGTTTCCTGTGTGGTGGGGCCAGTCTTGATCCTAGAAGCTTGAATAGAAAGCTGGCTGGCACAGGTTTTCCCTGCTGTGTAGAGTGAGATCCTCTAACTGTGACCTGTACAGCACCATAACTGTCTTCCCCTTTGCTACTATTGCGTTTGGAAAAAACCTTGACCTGTGTCCTGGTTAGAGGCTGTGATTATTTGTCCTGGTAGAGCCCATGAAACAGGAGAAGTGATTTTCAGCATCATCACCTTTAGTTTTCTTTTTTAAAATAATTTTTCCCCTTCTTGGAAAGCCTCTCCTCTGTCTCTCAGAAGTGATCATAGTTTAACTGCCTACTTTTTCGAAGACTCTGTCTGTGTGATACACAGATAGAAAACAGAGAGGAAATGTTTAAGTGCCATTTAATTATGAACTTGCAAAAAATAAATCTGGATAATTCACCTCACAAAAACAGTTGATTTCATTATATAAACATAAACTGGTAATGACAGTAAATTGCATTCATATAGAAAATGTCTGTCAAATGCAATTCAGTGTTTATCACACACAGATAAATTTCAATTCCATCTCCTTAGAGTTGAGTAACTATAAATGCATTCTCCATTTAATGAAGCCTCTGTTGCCCTTGGCTGCATGGCTTGCTCTCTGGAAGTGCCAGGCTTCCTGAGGCCAGTGGCTCTGGGCAGAATCAGTGGCTGGGTTCTGGTAAGGCTGAAGCTACCTTTCACCCCAGGGAACCACAGGCTAGACCGTGGGAGATGTGAGTGGCAATGGAGCTTGAAACAGAAGTGGGGTTTAAGTACATGCACAGCACAGTCCTCCAGCAGTGACCTATATAAGGGTGACAGCGTGTTCTGCATACCAATGCTTCCCTATTTTTGCATGCTCTCCTTGGGATTGGTAGCTTAACTTGAGAAAATGGGGAGCAGGCAATCTATAAACTGCAAAAAGAGGGTGTAAACCATGTTGCTGCAGAACTGCCAAATTGCAGGTGCTCTGGTACTTTAAAACAAAAAAACTCATTTGCAAGCATATCTTTATAGGTTCCAAAAATGCAGCAATGACTTTTTTGGGAAATCTTGGCCTTCTGTTGTTTTTCCCAGTGAAGTACTGAATTGTTCTTTTTCATAGGTTTAAGAAAAACATTCCACCTTCACAGCACACTTTTAAGCAAACAATAAATTCTAAAATCTAAATGCAAAGCACCCCTCCGGATAGATACCACGTTCTGAAAGTTACTTCCTTGTGATCAGGTTGAGTATATTTTAGGCTTGGTCTCAATGGATATTCAGTCCTTCTTACAGCAAAATAAAATGTAATAGAATCGAATGTCCCTCATGCAACATTCTTCCAATCAGAGAACAAAAGAGATTCTATAGGAGCATTTAGTAGGATCCAGACAGTGTCTTTAGGGTATATGACATAAAACAAAGAATGGTAAAAAGAAATCAAATTCTTTAACAGATACACTTTTGTCTGGTGAGTGTGTTCACTTTTTATGCAAATGTATGAAAGTATAAGAAAGGGTTGAGTTGATGGAAAGGAGTTTAGACAGCTTCTATTTAGTAAATAAAAACATGGAACAATTCAGTTTGGAAGTGGTGGTGTTTTTAGAGCATCTGAGTCTTAGAGGTCTATCTGGTGTGTTTTTCTAATGTTCTGTCACAGGCTTGCTTAGGAATGTCAAGTAATTAAATAATTAATAGGGCAAGGCTATTATTCACAATTCCTCTGATTTTTATAGGTATGCTTTCTAGGGGCACGGGATGAAGAGAGGAGACAAGCAGGTGCCTGGGCAGATTTCTACTGAAATGACCAGTTAATTTTCAGTATTCAGACTCCTTTATACCTATCTCAACCACAGCACCTTTCTCACCCACGGCAGCTTTAGCACTTTTTCGGTGGAGGGACTAGAGATGTCGCCCAGTCTCGTGTGACATATAGCCTAAATAGGTGTTATCTGCAGCAGTCATGGGCAGTATTTAGACAAGTAGCCATGTCTTGGCTTCACCCTGGCTTCTTTCCCATTTGCCAATTTCCCCTTCCCCTGAGGTGCACTGGTGCTTCTGTGGTCCCATAGTGAGGTGGGCTTGTTTCTGAGTAGGGGCCTGCCTGGAAAGTGCCCATCAAAAGGTCTGGCTAAAGGCAGGTGGGCTTCATAGAGTTTTGCTAAATGAAAAGTAAGCATACTGCTTGACTCCTTGTACTGGTTGTTTTCTACTGTATTCCAGGGTCTTGAGGCCTTTTGGCAATGTGAGAGGTTTTGTGGAGTTTTTTCATCATCAAATTTTCTCTTGGAGTCTGTGTGTCCTGGATATTTGCTGTAGCCCTGCCCACTCACTGAGAACCCATCCGAGGGGAAGTTATTTATGGAATAGGGCTGAGGACCCTCTGCTGCTTCATCTCTCTTCTTCCTGGATATATTGTCCCATTGATTCCAGAAGTTCCCCCATACTTACCACAAGTCATATCCTGATTTGTGTGTCAATAAGTAATGGTCATCTTGTGTATAACCTGTTGAAGCCACCCCAGCACCAGCATCTTACGAGGCGGTGGGAGTAGCTTGGGTCACTGCATCAAATATGAGTCAGTGGCAACTGCAGATAAAAGAGCAACATGTATGCTACACCCAGGGAAGAGGGAGTGGGGTCTCCTGTTCCCCAAGCTATTCTATTCAGAATGCTGCCTTGTAAATACTGGGGGTAGTTTAGGATGCTAGAGAGCATTCAGCAAACCAAAGATATACTTATATTGACTGATCCCTTAAGGAGAGTGGTATGAAATTTATCAAAGTGATAAAGACAATTTCATTTGAATTATATTTGGTAAATGTTTTCCATGGAAGTTCAATTTGCTTTCTCATTCATTTATTCTGCTTACATGTTGAAGTTCTGGCTCCTTTTTTTTTTTTTTAACCCCCGAAGATGTAAATCGTTGATTATAGTGTTTCCAATTTGGTTTATTACATTTTTTTAAACTTATTTTTTAATTGATACATGATAATTGTATATATGTATGGGGTACAATGTGATATCTGAGTACATGCATACAGTGTGCAATGATCTTAGGGTAATTAGCATATTCATCACCACAAACATTTGTCATTTCTTTGTGTTGGCAATGTTCAGAATCCTCCCTTCTAGCTGTTTGAGAGTATACAATAAATTATTGTCTCCCTACAGTGCTATACAACACTGATATTATTCTTCCTATCTAGCTGCAATTTTGTATCCATTGACCACCCTCTCCCCATCTCCCCTACCCTTATCAGTCTCAAGTAACCTCTATTGATTCTACTCTCTACTATGAGATCAACTTTTTTAGCTTCCACATGTGAGTGAAAACATATTTCTCTTTCTGTGCCTGGCTTATTTCACTTAACTTTCTCCAAGCTTATCCATGTTGCCAAAAATGGCAGGATTTCATTGTTTTTCTGGCTGAGTAGTATTCCATTAGGTATATATACCACATTTTCTTTATCCAGTCATCTGTTGATGGATATTTAGGTTAGTTCCATATCTTGGCTATTATAAATAGAGTTGTGATAAACATGGGAGTGCAGGTATCCCTTCAAAGTAATGATTTCCTTCCTTTGGGTATATACCCAACAGTGTGATTGCTGGATCTATCTGTAGTTGTCTGAGGAACGGTACTATTTTCCATAATGGCTGCACTAATATATAGTCCCACCAACAGTGCATGAGTTCCCCTTTCTCCACATCCTCGCCAGCATGTGTTATTTTTTGTCTTTTTCATAATAGCCTTTTAAAAAATTTTTTTTTTATTGAATCATAATTGATTAGACATATTTTGGGGGCTCAACGTTGACATATGTTAGTCAAATCAATATTACTAGCACATACATTGTTACAAATCGTACTTATTCTTTATGCCCCTTGTCCAATCTTTCCCTATCTCCCCTCCTTCCCCTTCCACCCTCCGATAACCCTAGATTTATTCTTTCCCTCTGAAAGAGTAATGGTTAGTTGCCTAGATAAACTGTCCAATGCTGAGAGGTGTGAGTAGGTCCCCCAAAACTACCATAGAGCAGATGCTGCTTCTTTCACTCTGGATTGGGCTTTGTGGAGAGAGACATCCTCTTCTTTTCTTTGGTCTCTGCTGGTGACTCTCCTTGTGTCAATGCACTCTAGTGGCTGGCAGACCATCTGCATGGTGGCTGTGGTGGGCCACCCACATGGAGGTAATGTTTTTGGCATGCTTCTTAGTGCTGGCGGTGTGCCTGGTTGGGAGGGGTGTCCTGTCCCTGGGTCCATGCCCTGGGCCCCCTGAGGCACTGGCAGTGTGCCTGGATGTGGAAGTGGGGTCCGGTCCCAGCTCTATGCCTTAGGTCCCCAGGCGGGCCCCAAAGCACTGGCAGTGTGCCTGGTTATCAGCAGGGTGTCAGGTTCCCGGCTCCAGCCTCAGGTCCCCTGGCAGTCCCCAAGGGACTGGTGGTGTGCCTGAACCGTAACTAATTTTTTGGCTTTTGCTTACTTCTAAAATGGGGGGACTTCCTGTGGGAACCAGTACTTGAACTGTGTGGTTGAGCTAAATTGCTGCTTTGCTGCTGTTTCCCTAGGGTAGGCTTTTGGTGCAGCTCAGGGTTTAATGGTTGACCTCATAAGTACTTCTGGCTCTCTGGAGACCCAGTGCACCTGGGTTGTGTAGAAACTCTTATCTATGCCTGAGCCTTTTCATCAAACTGCTCCCCATGTAATTCTTTATTCCTGACCAGTCTCCTCTGAGTGGTCCTGCACTGATTGGGGGGCAGATCGGCTGTCCTTGCTGTGTCCCAGTGTTCTCCTGGTGGGCCCGTCTCCCCCACCGCCCATCCTCCAAACACTTCCCATGGGACAGGCCCTGCGCTGGTCCCTTGTGATGACTCATCAGCCTCTGAATGGCTCCTTTTTTCAGTTCTGGCTACTCCTGTGTGGGTCCACGGGAATCCTATGAGGGGTCTTGCTGTCCTGGGGGCCACCAAGGCCCTCTTCTCCCCTGCTGCCTTCAAGCAACTTCATACAAAGGGCACAGCTGTGTGCTCAACAGCTCCAGCCTTAAAGTGGCCACAGCATGAAATGGTTGGAGCAGTTTTTTCTTTCTCTCATTGTGGCTTCTCCCGTCTTCATGCACTCCGTCAATCTCTCCTCCTCCCTTGAGCTCTAGTGGCCCCAGCTTGGCTGTTGTTGCTTTTTTATAGTTGTAAATTCGTTGATTTGTGGGATAGAGTGATGATGGGGACTGTCTATTCTGTCATCTTGACCGGAAGCCCCTGGTTTATTACATTTCTTACTAAATGCTCTTGGAAATAATAATATATCGCACAAAATACTTTGGGGCAACACATGAGAATGCTAATTTGCACTCCTTCATTAAGTGTCAGTGTGCCCAAATAATTTGGTTTGATTGGGAGACAATTAAATAAAAGTGTTGTTGTTGTACCTGACTTTTGGTTTTATGTTTAATAGCAAAAATGCAAAACTGTAGATGAGAGTTTCTCTCTTTGGAGAAAGTGATGTAAGTAGTGGTGAAGTTAGAAGGTTTGATTCCAGAATCCCATGCCCACTAGCTGTGAGACCTTGGACAAATCACTCAGAATTTCTGTGCCCCAGTTTCTTCATTGATAAATGGTGATTTAAAAAAAAAAAATCTTACCACATAGAGTTAAATGTCAAGCACTCAGAATAGTGCCTGGCATAGAGTAAGTATTCCACATACAGGATGAAACAATATTATCATTTCCTGTGTGTGCATAGGCTGCACTGATAGATATCCAGGGCAAAGGATACAAAGAATGGGCCCTGTTGTTATACATTGTAGACTGAAGTTCTTGTGGCCTTTCTGGACTATGCCAGAACTGGCAACCATGCCAGTTGGCATGGTTCCTGGAGGGCAATTAGCTACTGTTTGTTTACTTTAAACATATATATGCCTTTTAACTTAGTAATCTCATTGCAAGAAAATTTCCCCAGGGATATGTCACAGATGTTTGCCAAAGTACCTGTACAGGGTGTTTTCTTCAACCAAAATGTCTTAAGACTAGATAAGTGAATTATGGCCCCTTCATCTATTCAGTAGGGAACTGTGTAGCCATTAAAATGGATAAGGGCAGACCTAGAAAGGTTTTCAAGTGAAAAAGATACAATAGTGCCCATAATATGATCCCTTTTTTCATTTACATATAGCTGTGCATATTTATATAGATAGACTGTTTTATGTGTATTATGAGTTTTTTTCCTGTTAGAAGCACACCTACAAATAAAGACTGTATCAAACAGTCTTTAATGGAATACAGATTGGCATGTCTGCTCATAATAGACCTATGCTGAGTTTCCTTGGAAATTCAGTTAAAGCTAACGTGATTTATGGTTTTAATAAGTGTGGAGCCGGCCCCGTGGCACACTCGGGAGAGTGCGGCGCTGGGAGCGCAGCAGCGCTCCCGCCACGGGTTCGGATCCTATATGGGGATGGCCGGTGCAGCTCACTGGCTGAGCGCGGTGCGGGCGACACCAAGCCAAGGGTTGCAATCCCCTTACCGGTCACAAAAAAGGCAAGAAAAAAAAATAATAATAAGTGCGGGTACTTCCTAACCCCAGTGGACTCTCACTGCCCCCCTAGGGTTCAGGTGCAGAGAACAGGCTTTGTGCTATGTCCTGAGTGTGTGGTGGCCTCAGATAGGCTGGGGTTTTCCTAGAGACAGCTGCTCAGTGAGGGTGGAGAATGTTACCTTAGACAGCTTCCTGAAATAGAAGCCTTCCTTTGTTGCTAAGAAATGGCATACCCTTTCCTGGCTTGGGTTCATCTAGAAGAAAGCCAGTATGAATTCAAGAAAGTCGAAATTGATTTTTAAAAACAGAGGTGTCTAGACAAAGGTTAACAAATCCTTGGTGGAGGGCCACTTTATGTAATGAACAAAAAAGAATGCCATAGTTTATTGATTCTAAGATGTACCCCCCCCCCCAAGTATTAATAGTCCTGAAACAGGGATGAGTATTAAAATCAATGATATGAGAAGGCATTTGTTCATAGTTTTATTAGCAACATCTTTTCTTTTCTTTCCTTTCCTTGGTGATACAAGGTACATCTTACACATCAGTGTTGTGTTAGGTTCAATAAAAGCAACATTTTTTTGTTGCTTTTTTACGTGAGAAAGCTCACTTGCCCCTTCTACCATGTGAGAACACAGAAGAGAAGTTGCCTTCTATCAACCAGAAAGCTAGACCTCACCTGATACCAAGCCTGCTGGTACCTTGATCTTGGACTTCCCAACCTCCAGAACTGTGAGAAATAAATTTCTGTTCCTTATAAGCTGTCCAGTTTATGGTATTTGGTTATAGCAGCCCAAATGAACTGAGACAAGTATACATTTATAGCAGCCCAGATTTTTTCTTTTTCTTTTTTTTTTTTTTTTTTCTTCCTTTTTGTCTTTTTTCGTGACCGGTAACGAGATCGCAACCCTCGGTGGGAGCGCCATTGAGCTCCCAAGCGCCACACTCTACCGAGTGCGCCACCGGGCCGGCCCAAGAGTTCTTATGTGTCTTGAAGAAAGCTCCTTTCCCAGCAGGAAAGAAATGGCCAGGTGGTGACTTGGGGACTTTCCTTTGTGATGCCTGCCCACTGCATGGAGTTTGGGCAGCCCCATCAATGATTTGTTTGCTGGTAGTCTCTGCAGTTCTGGGTCAGTGAGAACATTCCCTCTCCCATTCTAGGTCTGCCCACACCGATCTGCCTCATCCATTTTAATGGCTACATAGTATCCATAATTTATGCACTGTTCTCTTGGACATTGTGGTTGCTTCCACTTTACTATTGCAGAAGAGGTTGAACAAGCAAACCCTTTGCTCTTGGGTTCCGGAAAACCAGGGTGTCAAACTTTTTGCCTTGGAAAATAGTTTTGGTGGGTCCTCCAAATCCAGCTCCATGGCTGGTAGGAGCCACTTGTCATCTTAACAGTATTCAAGGGACCTCTACGGACTCTGCAAATATCGCAACAGGTTGATCTGCATACCATGAGAGGGTTACTAAATATTTCGCTACAGGTGGGCTCCCTCAACGCCTTCCAGAGGAGGCGTCAGCCTGCTTTCCAGCACCTGCTCCTATCCCAGGGCTGTGCTGGCTTTTTGGTAGATTGTCGGAATGTCATTAGCATCTCCTGAAGGGAAAGGGGGAGGGACTGGATGGACAAAGCTTTATAGTGAACTTTTGTCCTTCTAATTTAGACTTTGTTTGTGACATAAGGTCAGTGAAATTATTTAAGAGGAAGAGAAGTTATTAAGGTTTCTGTGAAAGGAAGTTTCTGTCTAGCTTGTGCCTCAAACAAAGATGGGCATCTCTCCTTTTTTCAAAAAAAACCTGAAATGAAGATTGTTATTCTTGGGGGTGATTACAGGTTGAGTTTTGTGGAACAGTTAATCTGAGCTCTCCAGTGAAATGATACACAGTAAAGCTTTTGGCACTGTGGCTGGCACCAAGCAAACAATAAATGATAGATGCCAGTTTACAATTGTTATCTTCTAGTAAAAGGCTCCTCCCCAATTCAGCTTTTTTGCTTGTTTCTCAGAGAATCACATTTTGGAAGATGTGAACAAATGTGTCATTGCTCTCCAAGAGAAGGACGTGGATGGGCTGGACCGCACAGCTGGGGCAATTCGAGGCCGGGCAGCCCGGGTCATTCACGTAGTCACCTCAGAGATGGACAACTATGAGCCAGGAGTCTACACAGAGAAGGTTCTGGAAGCCACCAAGCTGCTCTCCAACACAGGTTCGGAGACTCCCTCCCACACACACAGATGGCTTGGGTGGGGCGGGCCATCCTGTTAGCCCAGGTCCTGTGGTTAGGAAGTAGGAGATCAGAACCTAGCTGTGCTCTCAAGAGTTCTGGGTGATACTTGAGACCTGTAAGAAGTTGGTCAGCCAAATTAGGCCATCCTGTTAGCCCAGGTCCTGTGGTTAGGAAGTAGGAGATCAGAACCCAGCTGTGCTCTCAAGAGTTCTGGGTGATACTTGAGACCTGTAAGAAGTTGGTCAGCCAAATTTCTGCCTCACAAGTACATTTCCTTCATGTGTATCTCATGAGTAATCATGGGAAAAATTCTAAACACATGATTTAAGATGAACTTTTGAGTCTCCTGTTAGTGAATAAAACTAAAACAAAATTAAGGTGGGTCCCATTCTTAATCAAGGCCTCAAGTTGGTCTCACTTCAAGATCTCAGCCATCCAAACCCTATATTGCATACTGTGTTCAGAGGCAAAGAAAAGATGATTTGAATCTTTGTAAAATATTGCATTTAATTTATTTCACTATAAATACCCTTCACATAGGTAGAAGCAGAGGCTCTTCATCATAAGCCTTTCCTCTTTCTGTCTGACTGAGGGATTCAGGGAGGGCTGGTGGAATGATGTCTTCTGCTTAACCTGCCTCTTTTCTCCGCAGTTATGCCACGTTTTACTGAGCAAGTAGAAGCAGCTGTGGAAGCCCTCAGCTCAGACCCGGCCCAGCCTATGGATGAGAACGAGTTTATCGATGCTTCCCGCCTGGTCTATGACGGCATCCGGGACATCAGGAAAGCAGTGTTGATGATACGGGTAACTACATGTCAGACGTTTTAACAGCTTCTTTGTTACCATTTACTAAACTCGAGCAGTGCCTCATTCTGGAACTCAGTAGATGCAGTGGAAGTGTATTAAAACCATGAATCAAAAACTGTTAGAATGAGATATATTTAATTATGTTGTCTAAAATGAGTGTGAGTTGCAAATCAGAGCCCAAACTTGGGCCAGGAATGGGAGCTAGCATAAGTTGGCATGGATGATTTAATTTAGGGCAAACAGTCACCACAATATGAGGCTTCTCTTTGAATTAGAAACTACAGAAAATAAATGCTCTTAATTTCAGAGAAGGGAGCACTTGTTCATGCAGGGCAGAGTTATATTTCACATGGAGTGCTCCTTTCCTTGAAGGGGCTGCAGGCAGGCAGGATGCCGGCACCCCAGTGTGTTCAGCATGAGGATTAGAGACTGTGGCAGCCCCTGATGATGCTCCCTGGCTCATGGCCAAGTATTGAGCCCTTCTCCAGATAGCTGAGTAGAAGGGCCACCTGGTCTGGGCCCCATTTGACCAATCCTGTCTGATAAAGCAGGAGTGCTTACCACCTGAAAGTCCAGGCACCCCGGGTTGGCATGAACATAGGGGTTTCAGATACTGCTGACCCTGAGGATGCATTACGGAGGGGTATTAGGCCTGGGTCTCACAGCTGCCTTCCCCATGGCATTTGATCCCTTGTACAGTGCTATGAGTGTTAGCATGTTGCTCTGGAATCTGAGAGTGGGGCCTGTGGATACACTCTCCAGGGCCACCTGGACATCAACCAGGTCTGTAGCCAGGCCCTGCTATAGCTGCAGAGCAGGCATTTGGAATGGAGTGTCTGTCTGCTCATTGGTGGCTGTTTTACTATGCTGTTGGTCTAGTCAGATCAAAGAAGTTTCATTTACACCTTCTAGTTTCCTAGTCAAACTTTCCAAGGTAGACAGGGATCCACTTTTTATCCCCTCAGCATGACAGTCTTCAGAATATAGCTGGAATATCAGCTGGAAATAGGCCATTTGTAAGGCAGTTGCACCAGGCTGGACCCATTCTATGTACAGTGTAGAAACAGGCAAGACTGTTCTTCTCTCTGAGGTGAGGAGGAAGAGAATTGTTCGAGGCTTGTGTGGTTGGTTGCAGGCTGCTCCTGTAGGCCCCAAGCTCACCTGGATATGTTGGGGGTAAGGGCAGCAAGCTGGTGGAAGCTTTTGCTTTCTTTATTCTGGTGCTGTGATGAAGAAGAACCCATGTTCAGCAAAGGTCTGGTCTGGGCGAACACCGAAAATGAGAGGCCATAATTCAGTGTGTGAAAGGGTCTCTGAGTCACATATCCCAGTGGTAATGCACACAGCTCTAAGGTTTCTAAAGTTCTTTCCATGCTGACAAACACCTAGAAATAGAATAAAAGAAGCCCTATGATAAAAAAGAATGGTTGGATGTCTAAGGGTAAAGCCTTTGGGGATATAAGTGGGCTGAAACTGCATATGTTCTAGGAGATGCTTGCAGGCTCCAGAGTCCCACTCTGGGGAAGCAGGTGGGGTTGCAGGAAACCACCTCCTAAGAACTTGGATTCCTCTTCCAGCAAGTTCCCACATGTCTCTGAGACTCGGGTTTTTTCTCTTAAAAATGGAGATAATGGTAGTTTTGATGATTTTACTGAGATGAAATATAGGTAATGTGTTTAGCACAGGGCCTGGCCTGTAATAGCTGTTTCTTACCATGTTTAGTGCTGTGCAGGAACTTAAGAACGACAGAGGTCTTAACATAGCCTCCTTCTGCACAACCAGGCAAGTGTGTGTGATGGAACCAAGAGAAGAAAGAAACCTTTCAGGGCAGAAGCGTGATCAGCCTGGAGGGCCTGTAGCAAGGACAGGAGAGGGAGAGAGGCCTGCGAGACGTCGTGGTTTGGCTCTCACTTACTGTCCTGCTCTCTGACACTATTCCTGCCTTAATTCAAGAATCGTCCTTCCAACCCTGGGCCTTGTATTTTCTTGCCATTTTGTCCCTTCCCCACTGCAACCTCCTGTCCATAGCTATACCCTCACCATTACCAGCGTCTCAACCTCAACCTCCCCTCCATCAGCCCATTTCAGCGCTCAGCTTACTCTCTAGTACTGTGACTCCCAACAATCCTTTCCATCCACCAGGGCCTTCAGGCAGTTGATCCTCCCCACTTGTCACTCTGACTCAGCCCCTCGGGTCCTCGATTAACTCATTTTCTAGCTTTGAGTCTGTGGTTCACTAATATAATCACCCTTTGCCACATTTTACTTCCCTGTACTTGCCTTGCACAATTTAATCCTAGTGAAATTCTGCTCTCTCCTGCAGAGTGCAGGGCAGATCAGCACAGCCACCAAACCAAGCTGCTGAAGCCATGATCATTAGTGGGCCATGGTGCCGTGCAAAGTCACCCACCCACCCTCTCACCCTGGTCCTGGAGTCTATGACTGTTTCACCCCTTCCTGTTGTCCTCACCCTCCCCCATCTGTGCCCTCCTCCACCCTCTCTGGCCTTCTTGCCGGTCTCACTGAGGATAGTGAGGCAGGTAGAACGCCTGCCCCTGCTGTACCTGTGTCTGTGTCCTCCACCCTTGTCAGTGCTCTTGGTTGAGGCTCTCCCTTTCCTTAGGGTGCTAGAGCCCATGTTCACCCCAGTGTCTCCTGCACCTTTCCCTACGCATACGGTTACTTCTCCCATTGTAAGGGGAGAAGTCCTCCTTGTCAGTCTCCTTTGCTGGTTTCTCCTCATCTTCTCAGCCTGTTAATATTGGTGTGGGCTGTTGTGAAGTCTTTCTCCTCTTTTCCGCCTGCACTCATTCCTTTGGTATGTAAAGACGTGAGAGTCCTGTCTAGAGGCTGACTCTCCTAAGTTCTATACCTGTCCGGCCAGCTTGCCTGCGCACTCTCACATTTACTGTACCCAAGAGGGAGCTCCTGGTCTCTGTGCCTTCACGTGCTCCCCTCAGCTGATAGCAACTCCTCCTTCCCTTGCTCAGGCACGTTTCTTGGATTCCCTTTGAATTCTCTTGTCTCATACCTCACATCTGATCTATCTGCAAATCCTATTGGCTCTACCTTCCCAATAGAGAATCTGAACACATGGCCAACCCTGGTCCAAACCACCAGCATCTCTCACCTGGATTCATAAAGGTGCCTCACAGCTGGTCTCCCTATTCCCATCCCTGGGTGCCAACAGCATCATTATTCATACAGCACAGTGATCCCTTTCAGCTTCATTTAGGTCCACTGCTCCAAACTCTCCAAAAGCTGCCCATGCCTCTCTGTTCTTACACTGGCCTACAAGGCCTTGTAGGACCTGAACCTGTCACCTCTCTGACCTCATCTACTGCTCTCCCCTTTGCTCACAGGGCTCCAGCCAAGCCTGTGACACGGGGGCAGTGAGGTGAGTCCCTCTTCTGTGGCCTCCTTGCTGTTTATTCAGTTGCCCAGGCAAAGATTCCTTCCCCAGCTACCTCCATGTTCCCACCATACTGCCTTCCCATGTGACCTTGCCTGACCACCCAGCAGAATTACAACTCTGTGTTGTGGCTCTATTTATTTGTAGCACTGATCATTTTCTAATATGTCATATAATTCACCTGTTTGTTTTCATTTCTCCCATTAGAATATGTGTGAGAGCAGGGATTTTTGTTTGCGTTAGTCATTTTTTATCTCTAGAACCCAGAACAGTGCTTGGCACACAGATGCTCAACAAATATTTGATAGAGAGAGAGAGGAGTTATTTGCTTTTCTGCACAGGAGCAGTTCATGGGTCTGAGGTGGCTGTCAGGGAGGGGAGGAAGTAGAGATGTTACTAGGAGGTACTTCTTTGAAATGCTCCTTAAGTTAGCTCACACCAACGCTAATGGTATCTGTAGGTACAGCATTAAAATTGCCAGTGGTGGCATCATGTTTTGTGCCACTGAGTCAGCAGGACTCCACAATCTTGCTCTGACATGCTCTCTGCATGTCTCTGGTGCTTTGCATGGACCCCTCCAACACAATACATGCACTGCCCTCACCTCATCCAGGACAGGCCCGGCCTTTGCACATGTACACACGCCAGCTCTTCATGGTTTGAGTGCTGCTCACACATCCTCTCATTTGAACCTCACAGCAAGGCTGGGCTTGGATTAGGTCCTGGTGTAGGTAAGGGACTCACCTCACTGCCCTCCTGTCACAGGCTGGCCAGCCAGGCTGAGAGCCAACCCCAGCTGTTCTGCCTACCGCCCCCTTACTGATAACTGCCAGAAGATGACATTATGCTTCAAGTCAGTAGCTAATCACCAGAGGCTGGTAGTTTGTGCAAAATAAGAAATTTATTTCATAATAAAAGCAAAGAGCTAGGACCAGTAATCAGTTCTTTTGGTATTTACTCAGCCGTTACCTACTGTATTCTCCCTCTTTCCTTTACAAAAGTCCAGAAAATACTTTAAGATACATTGCCTATTTTTACTCCTCAAAACAGCTGTTGATACTTGAAGGGGCCCAATATTAATTAATTTTCTTTTTGTCATAAAATAGGAAAGTATACAAGTCTGCTTAATGCTTTATAAAACACCTCTGTGTTTAGGACAGTACCTTTTTCACCCAGGACAGTTCTCACTTTTATCTTAAGATGCACATGTCGGGGAAGTACACTAAAACGTGAGAACCTTATGTTATCCACAGAAAGTGAGTCTTGACTCAGTGGTGGGAACTGGGCCCTCCACCCTGTAGCAGAAGACCAGGCTCGCAGGCGAATGCAGAGCAGTTTCACTATTATGCACAGCTGTCCAGACACTGTACACCAACGTCCAGAATCCTGGGCCTCTGTGCGTCTGGCCGAGAAGCTCTGGGAGGCTGAAGTTTGGAGGCCCAAGGTTGTGTCTGACTCATAATCTGTCTTGGTTGCAGACCCCTGAGGAGTTGGATGACTCTGACTTTGAGACGGAAGATTTCGACGTCAGAAGTAGGACAAGCGTCCAGACTGAAGATGATCAGCTGATAGCAGGCCAAAGTGCCCGGGTAAGGAAGTGCTCCCCGAGGCAGCCTCACTTGTTCTGCAGACCTTCCCTGCCCCCACCATGCCTTGCCTTTTTCTTTTCCAGGAAAACACTGGAAGTGCTCAGAACACAGTTTTTCCTCCCTCTCTTTCTCTCACAGCAGGTTAAGTTAACCTAAGTTGTGGCACCTGCTGGTCAATTATAGGTATATCCAAAGTGTCTCCTCAGCTGTGCCTTGGGGCCTTGGTTTACGATTGAGCCCTGGCTTAGGAAAGACCTAGAATCTAGTCGATGCAATGTTTGTTAAAAGGATTGTGAAATTTGAAAAAGATTGCTGCCTTTGCCTGTCTCAGAGATACCATGGGTATGAACTATTTAATTATTCATGGGTTTAAAAAATGAGGTACATTCAAGAAAACCATTCAGAGCCAGTGCATTCATTTGAGTCATTAAGTCTTCCATCAATAGCATTTATATTTTGGGGGGGATGCCAAGAAATATTTCTAAGGAGTTTTTTTTCCACTCCTTGGAAATCCATCCTGAACAGCGAGCACATCCCTGCTTTAGGTCCTGAGCCCTTTGAGAAGCTGAGAAGGGAGGAGCCCCCAGCTGTGAGTCTTTGGGCTGGAAGTTGGGGGGATGCCAAGAAATATTTCTAAGGAGTTTTTTTTCCACTCCTTGGAAATCCATCCTGAACAGCGAGCACATCCCTGCTTTAGGTTCTGAGCCCTTTGAGAAGCTGAGAAGGGAGGAGCCCCCAGCTGTGAGTCTTTGGGCTGGAAGTCAGCAACAGGCCTCCAAGTGCAGCCTTAAAAACTGTAAAACGCCATGTCAAATAGCTAAAATGTATATTTCTCAGCAGTCTCCTCTGCCTTCCTTCTTCACAATTTATATTCTGAAACCACTTCCAGTTCACCTTGCAAAGTTGGAAATATCCATTCACAGCCCACCAGAGAAAGAGCTCCACATATTCATTAGCCCCTGTCACCACTGCAGGAGGCAGAGGAAGTAACTGTTAAAGAACTACGTTAACCAGGTTCTGTCGCAGCACAGGTGTGATTACGAAGCTTCCACATTAGCCTTCTGCCCCTCAGACTGTTTCCTTCCACACTAAAACTTGTTCTTGAAAGTGGGTCGGAAATTCAGGTTGCCACAAACATCTGCATAAAATGAGAAATAGCCCTTCAGGCAAATTGAAACCTATTAAAGCATTATCCCACCTATGTCATAGATTGCCTGTTGGAAGTAGTTTTGGCTAATGCACTGTGAGAACTTCATATTCTGTTTATGTAAGAGCTTTCTGTGCTTTGTATTATAGGCGATCATGGCTCAGCTTCCCCAGGAGCAAAAAGCGAAGATTGCGGAACAGGTGGCCAGCTTTCAGGAAGAAAAGAGCAAGCTGGATGCCGAAGTATCCAAGTGGGATGACAGTGGCAATGACATCATCGTGCTGGCCAAGCAGATGTGCATGATTATGATGGAGATGACTGACTTCACCCGGTGAGCGGTACCTCAGCCCCCATGCCAGGCCGCATGTGGAGGACAGCTTTCTTCCCTACAGGCCATGCTACTTTGTAGACAGCTCCTGTCTTCCACTCATTCCAACTGTGTGGGGCTTCATATACAATGATCCTGTTCTCTCTTTTCAGAGGTAAAGGACCACTAAAAAATACATCAGATGTGATCAGTGCTGCCAAGAAAATTGCTGAGGCAGGATCCAGGATGGATAAGCTTGGCCGTACCATCGCTGACCATGTAAGTGACAGATTTGCCATGTGGGTCTCTAAGCTCATCCTGGAGCTCAGGCAGCCCAGCCTGGTCCATTCCAGAGGCCGCTATAGTAATAGTTTTCATGGGCCACAGCACTCTTGTCACTCATCTCTAAAACTACTTGATTAATGAGGGATTTCTTTATTCCCATCTCCTCTTTGACGAGTCTTAAGAGCTAGGCCTGTTTGCACTAGAGCACATCTCTGGAGCAGGTGTGCATGTCCTGAACTCTTCCATCATTTAAGAGCTAAAACCAGCCTCTGCTGTTGACTGTTTTTTATCATCTCTCAGTTCTCTCTCTTCAGAGCTTTAGCTCTGGGCAGGAACTGCTTCTGCAAACCCTGACACACTGGAACCAGATGTATACAAACATATTGTAAAGGATTTATTTCATGTGAGAATTGGGAGCCCATTTGGCCAGTGCTTGGGAAGGCTGATGTGCGCAGTGGGGACAGGCTTCCATGTCCTGAGCACTGCTTTTTCTCAGCCACCCAGACTTCATCCCTTTATTCCCTCATACTGGTCTGTGGTTCTTGGGCTGGCCAGTTAGCTCAGTAGGTTTGAGCTTGGTGTTATAACACCAAGGTGAAGGGTTTGTAGTCCTATACCAGCCAGCTGCAAAAAAAAAAAATGTGGTTCTTACCTCCCGGAAATTTTATAACGCATTGCTTTTGATGCCCTAAGACTTATTATCAGAGAAGTCCTTTCTTAGAGACAATTTTTCTCTGTTGTTACAAACCCTCTTCATCCTTTTCCTTGAAGTATCCAAACTCTCAGCCTCATCTAGGCCACAGAATTAGTGGCTGCTGCCCCTCATGACTCAAGCCACAGATTGTGAAGTCAACCCTGACTCCCCCCTCTTTCACGAAATCCAGTAATAAGCTCTGTTGTTTCTGCTGGCCAAAATGTGTCTTTGAAACTATCCATTCTTTTCCTATCTGCAAACACCAGCTCAGTCCATATCTCCACAGCCACTTCCCTGGACTTCTGTGGCCTCTCCTAACTGATAACCTACCCTGTTCTCTCTCTACTCCACTCTCCACACAACTACTAACACTGTCATCTTAAAATGCAAATCAGACATAGCTCTGCCCTGCTTCAGTGGCTTCTTAGAATAAAATCCAAAGTCTCCAGTACGGTCTGCAAGGCCTCATTTTATACCACTCTATCATTCACTGTGTCCCAGCCTTACTTGCTATAAACACTTAAGAGGTACTGTGTTTCCTTCTTCGGGTAAAGCCTTCTATGCCAGTCTTCCTCCAGGATCACCCCCCCGCCCAGCCCTGACATTTTGCAGCAAGACAGGAACTGAACAGGGGCTGCCCTTTTCCCTATGACTGGTCAGTACCTCACCATTGCCAAGTGCTCATTTTCTTGCTTAGGTTTACTCAGTGAGTGTCTCCTGTCATCAAGCATTTATTGTGTGCATCATAATTGAGCATGTAAAGTGCCTCTGAGCAGAAGAGCTATTTGTCTGGATGGTTATTTAACCTAGCTCAGAACACTCTGACTTTTCTTCATAACCAGGCTCTTGCTTGCTGAGGCTCTTTCTCACCTTAAAGGGCCATGGGCTTCCACCCTTCTACAAGGTCTGAGGTGGAATCCGTGGCTGTGGTGGTTTCTCTGTTGTCATGGAGTTAGAGAATGGCTCAGAAGGCATTTGAGTGTGCTGCACAGTGTTGGCTGTATAGTAGTTTCCATGAATGACTTCCATCCTCCCACTTACCTCCATCACCAGGCAGAGAAGAGACAGGGATTGTGACTGCCCCAGGTTCGGATGATTCCTCTCTCTTGCCCTTTGCTCCAGCAAGAAGAAAGGAATTACGTTAGTGCCACACAGAGCCTTTCAGAAATAGACCTGGGGGTGGGGTGTGTTGTTTGGGTCAGGCCTGGAGTGCTTGGTGCTAAGCTTGCTCTTCTATCAGTGCCCAGACTCTGCCTGCAAGCAGGACTTGCTGGCCTACCTGCAGCGCATCGCCCTCTACTGCCACCAGCTCAATATCTGCAGCAAAGTCAAGGCCGAGGTGCAGAACCTGGGCGGAGAGCTTGTCGTCTCTGGGGTAAGTGTTATCTGTGAAAAAAGATGGTCAGTGGGAATGTACTGACCTTGTCTGCAATGAAAGTACCTACTTGTCCACATACACTCCTCCCCTGCGCTGGATGGGGAGCATGTGCTGTGCAGAAACCCCAAGTTTTGTCTTAGTCCCTGGAGGCCAAGGCACACATCATCTGCTCCCAGCTGAACTGCAGCTCTTTTTAGCCTGGAAGCCATTACAAGGGCTGGACTCTTCCCTTTTGCTGGCCATTTGCTGGGGAAAATTATTTTTATCTTCTTGCTTTTCTTCCCCCAGAGAGGAATCAATCCTGTTCATAATTTGCAAAGTAGACATAAATAGATTGCTTTCTTAAAAATCCTCCACCCTCAAAGTCCCCAAGTAGTATCTCTTCCTTTTTCTTTTACCAGTTCTGGGCCTCTGCTCACCTTGGCCAGGGGAAAGAAGTGGTTGTGCTGAGTGTACTGGGCTCCACTGAGTCCTCATTTCCTTTTTTTGGTGGCTGGCTGGTACAGGGATTAAATCCTGGACCTTGGTGGTATCAGCCCCACATTCTGGAATTTTCTTTAAAAGAAATACTTTTTATGTTGAATGTATTGATACCATTTGCTACATCATAAATGCCCCTGGGGGCGGTCTCCATATTCTCTAAATGAGGGGAGGAGACCCCGTGTCATGACTGAAAGCAGCGTGGGAAGCCGGGGGTCTGTCTCCAGTGGCTTGACTCCACTCCTCCTCCTCTGTATCTGTTCATGGTGCTTGTGGTTACAGCTCTAGGATCACTCACAGTGCCAAGAAGAGACATGCAGATCCACTTCCAGTTGGTTCGAGTGAATAAAACCTGTTGAGGGTGGGTTATGGGCAAGGTGGCGGTGCCTTATGTATTCGTTACCATCACTTTTTCTTCTTCAAAGGATCTGCAAGGTGGATGTTTCCAGGCTGTTTAGATAGAACAGCTACTGAGAGGGTTAAACAGGAATTGGGAGGTGGGGACTGTGGTGCAGCTCTGGGACCTGCCCTGACCTTGGAGGCGTACTCCTCCTGTCAGGCCACTTGTGTGGCAGGGCTGAGCTTCAGCCTGTGCTCCTCACTTCCCCCTGTCTGTGCCTCTTAGGTGGACAGTGCCATGTCCCTGATCCAGGCAGCCAAGAACTTGATGAACGCTGTGGTGCAGACAGTGAAGGCGTCCTATGTGGCCTCCACCAAATACCAAAAGTCTCAGGGCATGGCTTCCCTCAACCTTCCTGCCGTATCCTGGAAGATGAAGGCACCAGAGAAAAAGCCCTTGGTGAAGAGAGAGAAACAGGATGACACACAGACCAAGATTAAACGGGCGTCTCAGAAGAAGCACGTGAATCCCGTGCAGGCCCTCAGCGAGTTCAAAGCCATGGACAGCATCTAAGTCTGCCCAAGCCAGCTGCCCCCACTCCTCGGGGCCCTTGAAGATCAGTCACTTCTTCATTCAGATATATTTGCTAAATAGAACACTGATGGTAGATTCCGCCTGGAAACAGGCAGATTTTGAACCTGGCTAGGTGGTGAATTTTATAAGGACATATTTGTGTTTAAGTCAGTCAGAAACGCTTTTAGAGTTCAGGAGCATATTTCTAGCTATATTTCTTATAAGCTTAAATAAAAATAAAAATTCCATAACCAAAGAGAATCTACATTAACTTGTTAGTAACACTCTTGACCAAATTGTGATGCCCATTGTCTTGGTGGTGTGTGTTAGGGTTCAAGAAGGGGATTTGACTCAGCCTTGGTTCCGGAGAGGGTGGCTTCCACCAGCCCTAGGTTCAGGCAGTTTGACTGGTTTGAAATGACCAAAGATGGCCCGTGGTAAACAACATGGGCATCTTAGGAAGCAGTCCCATGAGAAGTGTTCCCAGAAGGGTCTTGAGAGGGACAAACCATGTGAAGCTCAGCAAAACATAACGTATCATGAAGAAAACTGATTACTCTCTTTATGACGTAAAATGAGAATTTTAATGCATGGTTACAATTACTAATGTACTCTGCTGCAGGACATTAATAAAGTTGCTTTTTCAGGCTAGAATGTTGGGATGCTGTAATCAGAACATGCCTTTTCTCCTTTCTTCCAGCTTCAAATGCAAATTCATCACTGAGCTCACTTCTAATAATTGCAATGTTTCTTGCCTTGGGCTTGCAACAGAAGCCTGACAAAGTAGTGTTTGCTTATGGAATAATTTAGACTTTACCTTATTTGTGATTATTATGGCGATTACTATAGCTACAAGGTATAATTTTACTGTCTTATTTAAATTTTATGAATTTGAATGTTTTTACACTAACTTTTCCCAATAAAGTCCACTATGAAACCAAGTCTAAGAAGCCAAAGTCATTTCTTCTGCCTTCAAGTCATGGATTTGCCCACAGCATCTGCAGTGCTCTGGGCCCTTCTCTCAGGACAGTGTTGCCCAGTGAGGGAGACTGTGCCAGAGGCTCTAGGCCGAGGGCTGCGGGGCCTTACAGGCTCAGCCCACCAGGGAGGGGAGGGCCATGCCCTTGTCCTGTTGAAAGCCTCACCCTGTACCCCCACCTTGGGAATGCACACATCCATTCTTCAAGGTTCAAGTCAAAGCCTGGGAAGCATCCTTGACCCTTCCACGGACAGCATCTCCTCTGTGTTGTGCATCACTCCCATCAGCATACAACCATGCCACGATAACAGCTGCCCTCGCCCCGACCCCATGGACCTTCCCAGCTAGCATCCCCATCTTAAGCAAAACTCCCTAAGGAGATGTCTGTCCTCGTCTCTTCCTCACTTCTGTCTGCCATTCCGGTCACCTCTCGTCTTGCCCACTCTACCACCATCACCCGTGCCTTGCACACTGTCACACAGACTAGCTCACTCTTCAACCCCATCTTACCAGCCTCCCCTACAAGTTGCCCACAGGAACACTCCCTCCTTCCTGAGTGTTCCTTACTCTGGCTTTCTGTCTTCCTTACTGGGGGCTCCTTTTTCTAGTTCTTAGAAGCTGCAACAGTACTCAGACCTCTTCTCTGTCATCTCAGCCAGACTCCTGGCTTTAAATTCCATCCAGATGACTGACTTCCGTAGGGAACTTGACTTTTGTAATTGGCTGCCTCCTAAACGCTCCACGTGGATGTCTGATAAATATCTCAAACTTGACCTGGCGAAACTGTGCCCGCCATCTCTACTCTCCACTACACACCCCCAAGCCCTCCCTGCTTTCTCACCCCGATACGTGGCACTACCAGTCGCCTCTTTTCTCCAGCCAAATGCCTGAAAATCAACCCTCTACCTTTAAGATTTAACTACTTATCACCACCTCTGTTTACTATAACCTGGTCTTAGCCAACATGTTACTAGTTATCTATTACTGTGTAACAGTGCCCCAAAATCTAGCAGCTAAAACAATATTTATTACTTCATAGTTTCTGAAGGTCAAGAATCCAGGAGCTGCTTAGCTGGAGGGTTCTGATTGATTCAGAGTCTCATGAAGTTGTAGCCAAGATGTCAGCTAAGGCTGAGGTCTGAACACAACTTGGTCTGAAGGCCTCAGTTCTTGCCACGTGGGCCTTTCTGTGGAGCAGCTCACAACATGGTAGCTGGCTTCCCCCAGAGCGAGTGATCCGAGAGAGCGAAGCAGCCAGGTGGGAGCCACAGTGTTCTTTTAAAGCCTGATTTGGAAAGGGATACCTTATCACTTCTGTATTCTATTGGTCACACTGATGCTGGAACCTTGTGGGAGGAGACAACGCGAGGCTACAAGTGCCAGGAGGGGGACTGCCACAGGCAGCTGCACAGCCCTGTCCCCACCTCTCTTCCCACAGTGGTCAGAACAATCCGTATGAAACCTGCCAGTTCATGTCATTCCCTGAGCTCGAACCTTCCAGTAGCTTCCATGTCCCTCGTAAAGCCACAGTTCCAATGTCCGCTTGCCCCCTCTGGCCTTTTCTCTCACTATTCTTTGTCAGTCTGCTTCTGTCCCTAGTCTCTGTGGAGTTCTTGAACATGCCAAGCACGTCCTGCCTGTGTGTGTGTGTGGTTCTCCTGCCTGGAAAGCACTTTCCACGGAGATGCGCTATGCTTCCTTTAGCATTTCCTTCACGCTTCTCACTTCTCACTAGAAGTCACCTTAGCAAAAATACCTCTGACAAATCCTTACCCTGCCCTTTTTCTTCATAGCATTCAGCTGCTTCACATACACATCTGTTTGTACTGTAAACTCCACAGAGGAGGACAATCTATTTTGTCCACCACTGAATCTCCAGGGCTTGGACACTTCCTGCATGGAAGACACTAGAGAAATTCTTGCCACATGATCTTCAGCTGGGGAAGGGCCCAGAAGCGCTGGCCTCCCTCTGCTTGGCCCTTCCCCTCTTGCTGACTCCGGGACAGTCTCATGGCTTTTGTTGCCATCAGTTTGTCACACTTCAAAATTGTCCTCCAAGCCTGAGCTTCAGATCTGTTCCCAACTATTTCACCTGATGTCCCACAACCCTGTATCCCAACAAGTCCTCAATCCCCACCCAGACTACCTCCCCAGCTCTCAACCCACCCCCTTCCCTCCAGCAGGGGCCAAGGCCCAGCCCTCATCTGGATCACTGCAAGTCTGAATCAGCCTCCTGCCTCAGCCCTCAGCACTCAGACACATCTGATCGGGTCAAGCCTCTGCCAGACTGCCCGCTGCCCCTACCCCACTGGCCAATCTGCATCTCTGCAGTGTCCAGCACAGGCCCTGCTGGCTGCAGCCATCCTGCCCTGTGCAGGCAGCTACTGTGAGCCCGTCACAGAGCCCACAGCACTGAGTCTTCCCCACACATCGGTCAGTTACATGCTTCTGTCATCACCTTTGCCACAGACTCATCCCAACCCTAGTGCCATTATTTACTTAAAAAGTCTAACTTATGTTTTAGTTTCCTCCTAAGCAGTATGTGTGAAGTCGTTTGATGTGCTAATTACATTTTTCCTAATGTGCATTAAAATAACATTTTAATAAACATTCATCCTGAAGTATCACCTAAAGTCACCCCTTGAGCCACAATGGGAAACACCAGTCCTCACCTGACTGACGGGAGCTCCTTCAGGGGACAGCCGTGTGGGCTTTGTTCACCCCCACCATCCGGCAAAGGGCCTGGCGCCTTCTTGATAAATAGTTGTGGGACAATGCAAACCATTTACTGATTTAAACCAATCTAACAAAAGACACTGGAGGGCAAAAAGCTGGCAGCTGGGGAGGCACCAGAGCCCTGGAGAACCAAAGCTGAGGCCCAGAGGCCCTGCCCAGAAACCCAGAGACCCTCTTCTGTGTCCTCACAGGCGTGGTCCCAGCGGGAGCGGGAGCCCTGACATCCACTGAGGGGGCTGCCTCCCCTCGGCATACTGACACTTCCTGCTTCTCAGCACAGGCCCCTGCTCTAAGCAGCCTCGGTGACACCCCCTCAAGCTGTGGCCTGGGGGAGCAAAGGACCAAAGGCAAGAGTCCCAGTTCCCTCCGCCCCGTGGCGCCTCCCCAGCACACCGCACTGGCTCGCCGGGCCCCAGCGCCCACACAGGCCCCGCTGGCGGCACCTGCAGCGCCCCAGGATGGCTCCGCCCTCTTCCCTGCCCTGCCGACCACCCTGCAGTGGCTTCACGGCTCCTGGGCAGGTACTTCAGAGGCGTCCCCCGCACCTCTGCAGCTTCACCACGGCCAGGGCTGCGCCTCCATGGAAGGAAGAGAAAGCAGCTGTCACGTGCTGGGCACCTGGAGCCCACGGTGGGACTTTCCCACTTCAGCCATTTCATCTTCACACCTGCGAGGTCAGCGCTACTCCTGCCCCTCAAACTTCACAGCTGAAGAAGTTGACTCAGAGGCAAAACCCCTCACCCACGTCACATAGTGGCAAGCGGCCCAGGCCCGCCACTCAACCTCACGACCTAGTCCCTCTGAAGCCCCCTGGTTTCCATCATCCCTTCTGTGGCATGTGACACCGGTGGCCACCACCCCCTCCCTGTCACACCTCTAGATTTCCATGGTTCCACACCCTTCATCCACCCCTGCTCCTCCCTGCTGCCCTCTGACGTGGAGGTGGCCAGGGCTCTGATCTGGGTTCTCGTCTCCGTTCAGCCAGGGCAGCCTCGAGGCCAATAACTCCCAAGAAGGCGGGCGGGCAAATGTTTAACAACCAGCTTTCCAGGGTGGGCTGGGGTAGGATGCATGTGTATATACATATGAGGGCACTTCAAAAAGTTTGTGGAAAAACAGAAATAAAAGATAATACAAATCTTTCCACGACCTTTTTGAAGACCCCTTGTGTATTTGTTTATTATACATTTTACTGCTCTGAAGGAATTACAGCACACAATTTACAAATAATAATAAAATGCACATAATCTCTGCATTCCATTTAGCCAATTGATTCTTACAGGGGCTTTCACTGACTTTTGCTGAACTCCTGCCTCCAGGGTTGCAGCTGACGAGTCTACTTCTGACATGAACATTGTTTGGTATTTTAATTTACCTTAAGGAGTAAGCCGAAAGTGAAACCGCAAAAACGTTATGTTGGGGTTTCACCTTTTTGTCAGTGAGCAACCTCTTTGCTGAATCAGACAGTAGCTGTCTGATATTGTAAGACAATTTCCTCCACTTTTGTGCCATTGACAATGTAACTGCTATAGTTACATTAATTGGCATTATTTTCTTTATCACTTTCTTAAGTATAGACAATCAACGAAACAATATATTAAACCTTGATCAGTAGCATTTCCCAGTTTCCATGGTGTAAGTATTTCTACAGCATCAGATTTCAAGCCATCACTTTGAAGTCCTGATGTGGCGTTGGGAAATGTGACGTTGGGAAGAGAGGCGCAGGAGCGCAGTTATGTGTATTTCCACCACCCAGACACAACAGATATCAGTAACCTCAAGAGCACAGAAAATGGTAAAATGTAGTAAAGTAATTAGGAAACGATGAGTTTTGGGTTGACCCCGTGGCGCACTCGAGAGAGTGCGGCGCTGGGAGCGCAGCAGCGCTCCCCGCCGTGGGTTCGGATCCTATGTAGGGATGGCCGGTGCGCTCTTTACTGCCTTTTTAAAATTCAGGTTGAAATTTACATACAGTAAAATTCACTCTTTCCTGTGTACAATTCTATGAGTTTTGACAAATGCAGTCCCATAACCATCACAAGGAAGATACAGTTCTATCACCTCCCCACAAAGGTTCCCTTGTGCTACTCCAGTGAAGTCAAAACATCCCCATACCCTAAGTCCTGGCAACCCCCTTTCTATACAGTTTTGCCTTTTCTGGAATGTCATCTAAATGAATCACACAGTCTGTAGCCTTTTGAGTCTGGCTACATACTGCACACTGTG